TTGAGGGGCGACTGGTGCACTAGAACGCACAAGATCCCTGCTTTGATTGGGCATTTTATGAGCGTTCCAAATCGCTTTAGTTCAGGAAATACTGTGCGCTAAAAGTGCCGTTTCATTTCGTCTAAACATTGACCCATCACACTATCCTCAAAACTCATTTTCATATCGTACCAACAGCACACAACTGACTATCACCCTACTCAACACCATGCCAATGCAACTCGCCACCAGCACTGCCGCACCACCCCCGGGGACCCCATGTCCGAAATGACCGCAAAACCCACCACGACCACGAGGAGCGCCGCGCCATCTACGAGAGCCTGTTTTCCGTCTCGTCCTCTGGCACACTACATCGTGGTACCATCTTGCGGCTTGTCAAGCAGTTTAACTGCTCCTTTGTCCAGCGTTTGGATCCGCGGGCAGCGGTCAGTCCGAGCGGGCCACATTTGTGACGATATCACATCGCAAGTCTGAGATACCTCTATATATATTCTTTGATTTCGAATCATATTTTTCTTATGGTGTACTATTTTAGGTAATTATCGACGCGAAAGTAGCGCTCGAATGAAGAAATTGAAGCCGCGATTCGGCATGCCCCATGCGTCGTGGCAGACAGACACTGATAGCTCTTTGTCTCATGCGTTCGTTATTCCCAGAACGACGTATATACGACACATGACCGTAGGTGTCCGGCTCAAGGCCCACTCAAGCTATGAAAGTAGCCCTTTCCACCGCAAGGAACATCGAAGAGTGTCTGTGGTATGCTGTATTCGTCTTCATCACTCGTCGAATGGAAGTCATTATTTTATAAGTACTAAATATCGACGAAAATATATTTTACTAGTCAATGGTGAAAAGGAAGTTATACATGTACGAGGATGAAGCTATGGTTGCTCGTTTGGACTTCACAAAACGGGCGATTGCCTGAACCCATGTTGACTTAAACGGCAAACCTGCTTGACTGCAAACTTGGAGTATGGCCATTTGTCGAAAAAGTGCAAGCACAACGCAACTTAAAGTACCACGTCATAGGCACATTGTGTGGACTCAGTATATTTAGAAATGGTGCAAAAACATTTTGTACCGGACATTAAGTTGAAGGTCCTGTGGTGTACACTGCGAACGGGTGCTGTAATCCAACAAGACAATTCAAATCCTCATAAATGCCTCACGACAAGTTTGTTGGAGTCGTGTGGCGTATCCGTAATTACAGTAAACAACCAGCCCGACAACAGCCCAGACTTCAAAAATGTCTTAGACTTAGGATTCTTAACTCATTCGAAATCACAGTATCAGAAGTGCAATCGAACAATTGAGGATCTCATGATGCTATGGAACCTCGTTTTATGAATTGCCTGTGGACACGGTGTCAAAAATATTCATATCATTTCAAAATGCGGTGGAGAATTGAATCGAAATACACGGTGGCAATGCTCAAAAGCTCCCTCACATGAAGATGGATGTAATAGTGACCGACTTCACGACCATCAACGTGTAGTGCGATGGCTAAACCTACGAGAGTGTCTTAATCCTTTTGAACTTCCGACTTGGGAGAAGAAGCGTCCGTTGAAGCACTTCTGAATTCCGAAAAACAAGGTTTTTGTCCATTGAACAGAAGTACAATATATTTTTGGTTTCACTTATTCGTTTCTGGACAAATACTGAATTGTTTCTGGATCGAGTCCCATAATGCAATAAGTCAATACGAAGGCAGCAAGTATTTGGGACCAAAGCAATAGGTCGAGAATGTATTGGTAACCCATTTGCTAATAATAGAAGATATTCTTGCAGGTTGAATGATGCGACAATATTGATATACGAATTTGCCAAATTGTTGCCAAATTGTGGTAAAGTACCACTAGGAAAAGATTTACGTCGTTTACAGGTAAGTATTATTCTTCCGCGTGATAACGTAGATTGCCACTTTATGGTGCGATTGACAACATATTCTTCATTACATCCAGCCAATGAAGAAGGCTACACATTGCAGAGCTGATGTGCACAGTGCCAGTTATGTGGTATGCACTCCACAGTGGCAACATCTTTTACTGCCAGCCAAAGCGAAGAAGTCAACAAGAAGACATTTGATCTCGGCGGAAGTGTTCTTACCTTGGGGTTTGATGTAAGAAATCGACAAGACCAGGCAGTGCGCATTGAGGCCTCCAAGACAATGAAAGTCATCAAAGCTAAACGAGCGAATAGCGAGCCAAGGGAAAAGCAGTCTGCGCCGAGGATGGCATGGAGATCTTATGAATTTGATGCTTCATTAGTTTCCATGGATTAGTAGTGCCTCCAATATAATGATTCTTATCACTTTGCGTTCTTGAATTGTATTCGTCACATGCCGTCAAATTCGAATATATATGCGATATAAGCCAACGGACAACTCCAAAGATACATAAACTGTGCAAACTACATAATCACCCTTCCAAACAATATACCCTAACCACAAAAATATTTAAAGCAGAATAGAAATTACAAGTAAAAAATACACCAAGAACTGTTCATCGCATTTTGAATATATTTACTCAAAATATCAAATTCTTGTCTCTCAAAAGCCTTTTCAAATCGTTCTGATTCAATATTTGTCAATAGAGTTGACTTCCCGATATAGATCACAAATGGGAAATCAAATTACAGATCTAAAAAATGTGTAATGGACTTTCCAGTGAACAACGTTTGCAAAATCCACCTAAACTTGCAATCTACGTAATCGTCGCTAACCAAAAAGAAAACTTTTCCAAAGAAAGGTGATGGCCCCAACCGGGGATCGAACCCGGGACCTCCTGCACCCGAAGCAGGAATCATACCGCTAGACCATTAGGGCACTCTTCCGGGTGCTACCGATTACTCTCCCGGGTGCTACCGATTACTCTCCCGGGTGCTACCGATTATCTCTAAGACAAGCCAAAAAGATTCTCAAACAATGAACGATCAAGAATGCCGAGCTTGTCAACATTAACGCCAACTCGTCCAGTGGGGACCCCAAATCCTCACAAGACGCGATCGCGCTGTCTGGAAACGCTCCAGAATCTTCGGATGAGTACTTGAAATCGGACTTGGACGATGACGACATGGAGTCGGGTGACGATGTGAGCGACGCTGATGGCGAAGATGAAGATCACGACTGCGATGACGATGAGATGGGTTTGTCCGAATCCCCTGCCGTCTCCTCAAAAACCACGGAAGAGGTTACACCTTCGGCTAGCCAAGGGAGTATCGACGCCGCGGCCTCGGTCTCCGACCTTGCTGCACCAGCCACACAGGGCTTGGATCAGGAGGGTGGTAGGAACCACCAACCCATCGGCGGCGGCCAAGACCTGAATGTTTGTCAACGCTTTTCGTCGTCTGACGAAACG